GAGAGAGAGAGAGAGAGAGAGAGAGAGAGAGAGAGAGAGAGAGAGAGAGAGAGATCTAACATTACTTTCTTGGTGAATAAACCTTGCCCAGAATAGAAGGTAATTAGCAGTAGGTGGACAGACACAGCAACTGTGAGGACCTCAGTTTGGCCAGAGAAGCACTGATGCACTCCTGCCAGTTCTTTTTTGCAACATTTGTTTTAGAGAGTTTGCCCTCTTGTGCTGCAGCTTTGGTGCAGTTTACACCATTCAGTTCAAGTCAATAATCATTATTCAGGATATTAGGAATATAAGATATACGAAGATATATACAAGGAGATTTATTATAGTAATTGGTTCATGTGATTATGGAGGCCGAGTCCTACAATTTGCCATGTTCAAACTGGAGACCCAGGAAATCTAGTGGTATAATTCAGTCCATGTCCAAAGACCCAAGAACCAGGGACCCCAATATTCAAGGACCAAAGATGGATGTCCCAGCTCAGGAAGAGAGAATTCACCCTTCTTCCCCTTTTTTTGTTTTATCCAGGCTCTCAATAGATGAGATGATGCTTGCCTATAGTAGTCAGGGAAGATTTTTTTACTTAGTCTACTAATTCAAATGCTAATCTCTTCTAGCAATATCTTCTCAGACACACTCAGAAATAATGTCTTGCCAGCTATCTGGCCACCCTTAGTCAAGTTGACATAAAAAAATTAACCATCATAATATCTTTCTCCATATACTTGAACATTTATAGTGTAACAAATCAGTTACATGCTTCTACCTAATAAGATGCAATTACACAACGTGCAAACTATAGTAGAAACTACTATATTTATTGATGAATTCAATATGGAAATTTTGGTTTTAGAAATATGTATTTCATTAACATTATGACATATATTTACTGAAAAACTAATCAGCAAGATAGAACACATTAAAATCATCCCTCCAAATGTGGCTAATTTGTTTATTTAGAAAGCAACAGAGGCTGGGTGTGGTGCGCATGCACATAATCCTAGTGAAGTGGGAGGCTGAGGCAGGAAGATCACAAGTTGTAGGCCAACCTGGGCAACTTAACAAGACCCTGTCTCAAATAAAAAGTAAAAAGGGCTGGGGTTGTGGCTCAGTGGTTAAGCATTCCTGGGTTCAATTCTGGACTAGAAAGAAACAATGAGGAAGGGAGGAAGGGAGGAAGGAAGGAAGAAAGGAAGGGAGGGAGGGAGGGAGGAAGGAGCTAGAGACTCCCCTTTCTGGTCAGGATGGAGTAGCATGGCCCATATTTACCCTTCTAACTGAAACAACAACAACAAAAAGAACAAATTATATGAAACAATGGCTTCTAGACAGAGAATATTAGGCAAAAAAACTCCAGTGATCCTGAAGAGAAGGAAAAAACACATTAGGTCAACCTAGTGATTGTCCCAGCCTCTACACATAAACTTAGGAGTACCATATACCAGCTCAGGAGTATGCTGTGTCTTCAGAAATAAGAGTTCTGCTGTTATTCTCTCTGCTCTGCCTCCATGTAACTTTTCTAGTTCTCTTATACCAGCCTCAACAATTTTTATATAAAAATCTCTCAAATATGTTGTTTTTACTTTTAATTTTTGAGTTAGTATTTTCATTTTGTTAGGAAAAATATATAATAGGAGGGGGCCAGGGCGAGGGTCAGTTCTATGAGTAAATAGAAGAGTTGGCTGGGGACCCCAGGAGTGTTTCCCAGGTATATTATTAGAGCTTTATGGTTATATAGAGTAGTTGGGTTCATCCTGACAAACATGTACCTACATGGAAATCGATTTCAGTTCATGATACTCCCTTTTCCTTCCCATGCTTGTTTTTCTACATTTCTAAATGCTATAGAATGTTAAGAAATGTACTAGGTCACTTTTGCTATTTTTTTAAAAATAAATCTGGTATGGTAGATTAAAAACATTCTCATTTTAAAATCAAGGAATTTGAGCCTTGGAGAAGTTAAATAGTTTCCCTCTAGGTTATGAAGATGTTTATGGTACCTTCAGGAAACAAATATATATTAAAGCAAAGGCCTTGCTCTCCATCACTAGTTGGACCAAAGACTTTGAAAGAAAAGTAAGGCTTCTAGCATTACTCCTAGGAATCATGGATAAGGCCAGGATTACTTCTATTATATTTCATATTAAATTATTTTATTTTAACTAGTTTATAATTAGAAACATACTCATTAAAATGTGTTTTAGCAATCTTCTCCATGGTTGGATAATTGGTCCATATTTTAATGAATTATAAATATTCATCTATAAAACATAACACACTATTCATTTAGTTCTATTAGATATTGAAGACTGGGGAAGGGTCAGAGAAGAATTTGACCTCAAGAATTTTATAAATATTATTTCAAACACTTATAATAAAGTATTGGGACTTAATGTTTAATGACTCTTGAGCACCAAGTATAAGTTTATCAAATGTGGAATATGGGAGCTCTTACATGCAAAATGTAGCATTCTGTGTTTGGTGGTCTTTGTCCACTCCTTTGAGGAGAATCTAAAAAGTGTTTCGAAATTAGCCCTGATAGGGCCCACCTTTTGAACACTTGATGTCCTAAGATTGCCCCAATTCCTATGTAAATATGGACATAGAGTTGATGCCCTAAGATTGCCAATTCCTATGTAAATATAGAAGTGTAGAGAGTTGGCATGTTTTGGCAACAATGGATACAGACATCTCAATTCCCAACACTCACCTCCATTCTCCTTAAGGGACTGGTTGAAGGAAAAAGCTTTTCTTTTTTTAACCTTCCCATATTATGATCCCAAGCACATTTTTTAAAGGATGATATACAAACGGAAGGTATGAATTACTGAAGTTGGCTTGTTTTAATGCTATATTGCATGGAAGATGAGATCAAAAGGAATTGTGGAACTTGTTTATAGTCATAATCACAAGGATTGGGTTTGCCTTTGTGGCATAAATAGTGGGGATACTGAACAGAATACTTGAAACAGCTATTTTCAAGTGTTAAGAGTATAGGAAATGCAAGACTGTGCCTTAGGGAAGGTAAATATTTTTAATGAGTCCCCACCATCATTTTTGCCTGGGGACATATCCCAAATGGCAGTGTAGGAAGAGGGTCACAAGAAGAGCATTCTGAATTGAGAGATATTGGAAGGTAGGGATTTTTAAGGCTGCTGGGAGTTGTGGGAGGTTCTGGAGAAAGAGGGAATCTATAACAAACAGAACACTAAAAAATCTGTAAATTTGGAGATTATGGTGCCTT